CGACGTGAAAATCTTAGTCCCTCCAAAAAAAAAAAAAAAAAAAAAAAAAAAAAAGAAAAAAAAGAAAAAAGAAAAGGATGAAGAAACATGGTGCATTTGCCAATTGTGCCGTGACAGACAACGTGGCTACTGGTTCCCTTTCTAAATGGTTTACCCATGAAAGCAGCAACTACAGATAATAAAGTCAAGCAAACTCAGCAAATGCCAGTCACTACGTCCTAAGTCTGCATATGCAGCCACTGCATAGCAGGGGAGGTAATTCACTGCCTGCCTGTAATATTAGCTTACTATTTTCTTGATATATTAACTAGCAGTTCTGTGAGGTATATCACATGCAGATCTACCATCCCAAAATTTAACATACATGACCAAGATCCCAGATCCTGCTGCATGTCAGAACAACAAAAATAATGAATGTGTCAAATAGGAGAGCGCACGATGTTACATCAAAAGTGACTGATGTTCCACGCATACAGCAAACAACACAAAAACCCATTACAAACCCCATATTGTCACATATGACAGGCATGGCTCAAAAATAAAAAGCAGCAGTACTGATGATTTGCTTCAGAATGAAATTACTTGGCATTAATACCCTACATCTCTGAACAGTGATCGAACTGGAGGACTGCAGCACTGAATTAGAAGCAATAGTGTTTTGGACACAATCCCTTCTGGTCATATCCCTTCTGGAAGTTTGTTTTGGTTTTTGTTGTGTTTTTTTTTTTTAAAAAAAAACCCTGAAATTTCTATTCTTCTAGAAAAAAAAGTAAAAACCCAAAAGAACTAAAGCAAAATAGATGTTCCATAAAGGAATAAAATCTTTCAAAAACCAATGGTTAGAAATGCAATACTTTAAGTTTCCTAAGACATTTTTCAGAACCAATGTGACTGAAGAGGTTCACTAGGAAGCCCAAAGGCACTAGTACAATGAGCCTGATCCCTCGTAAGGCCCAAAGTTTCATTCTCAAAATTGTTCGCAATGCATTTGGAGGCTAAATAGCACCATTCTTCTTTGAATGTGAATTTGGTATGAATACATTTCCAAAGATGCTCCACTGGTAACATGGCTCCTAGGCTCAGAAAGCAAGTCTATTCCCTGACAGTCCTTGTCACTCATTCTTACTGCACCTAGATGTGTCTTCACATGATGACTAAATAAGCACACAACCTCTCACTACCCATCTGGTATTTGGATTAGCTGCTGAAGACCTGAGGCATTTGAAAGGAGTCCTCACTGGCAGCACTGAATAGGCTCAAAAAACCCCACAGAGGTGTACCAGCTGAGCTTTTAACTGCTGGAATGGAAACTGCTTACTAGTTCATAACCACTAAGCAACAGTAAATGATTCCACATGTTGTACAAGCCTGTGTCTCTTCCCCATTTGCCTCATTGTTTTGCTGCTGATAAAAGATGATGTGTATAGTACGCCATTGATACTAATAGCACTCTTGTGCCTTACACCCTGGAAGTCATAACACCAATCAAATAAAATATATACTCAAAGTTTAAAAAACCAAAAGTGATGGATGATTAGATGAGAATGCTTTGATACTACTGAGGCAGTCCCCATATATGTGGAGCTTTCACCTACCTAATCACTAAGAAATGAAGCAATTTAAAATGCTGTTGCCTTTACTGAATAGGATGACCAGCACAAAGGAAGAACTGAGTATGTATGTCATTGGTTGTGTTTAAGTGATTCACCATAGAAGCACTGCAAAGGGTGGTAGGATGCTGCTTGTGAGCTCTGCGTGTTCTCTGTAGCTGCCCTGGCTTCCAGTCTGCTGAATTAAAAATTGCTAGCACTTTCAAACTTCAGTTTGGTTTTGTTTCTTGCAATACATAGCCATATGAAAGCACAGTTATTCTTCATGATTAGCTGTTCCACTAAAGAGGGTGTTCTGTTTTTTTTTGTTTGGATCACTGTATTGCTCCTCTGCATTGAGTAACTGCTCCATAAAAAATCCAAAGCACTACCCATACACTCTGTCCTTGATATCTTCTGCTTTCCATTGAAGGCATACGGCAGCGCAATCTAAAATTCAACTTATAAGATAAACACATAAGCCAAATCTGCACGAGTGAAAAGAAATCTGCTCTAAAGAGATACTGTCAGAAAGGCTTGTTATTATTAGGATTTAGCGACCTCCCAGCTACCAAGCACAAAGTGCAGAACTGCTTTGTTTTATGTATTAGCTTAGTGTTCTGCATGATGAGCAGCAATAGATTAGGCATGAAACTTTCTCTTGCAGTGATGTCTGCTGACAGATGGACACTAGCTCTTTCCACTGCCTGCTGTTCACCCACAGCTCTGCTAATTCCCAGTTTCAACCTCAAAAGCAGAAAATTCTGTCTGTGCTTTCTCTTCTTCCAGACACACCTTGCACCCTGTTAGGTCTGCAAACAGATCTATTTTTACTGTCTTCACATTTCACTCTTCCAGAAGGCACACACAGATAGTTGTTACTGTTTATATTTTGGATGTTATTCAGTGTTCTGTCTTTTTGTCAGTTTTGAAATCCCTCTTTATTTTCATTCTAAGGAGGTGGCAGATACATACTCGTATCTGAAACTGCACCATTTGTTGCTGCAACTAGGTTTACCTTAATGCTTGGTTTTATTTTGATGGCCACATAACATAGTTTGGAGACCAAATGTCTGCCAGTCCTCCTGGTCTACTCTCACACCTTTACAACTAGCGGCTTAGCCAGTGCCTCCTCCTTACCAGTTTTGGGATCCTACTTACAAAATACTCCCTCATTTATTAAAAAAACCCACAAAATAGCTAAGAAAACTGAAATCTAAATGAAAGATTCAGTTAGGACTTCATGAAGACATTTAACATTTGACCTCTCACCACTGTGTTTTCTAGTAAGGAACAGATAAGTTAGAAAGCACTTTCTCCTGTAAACTAGGGAAATTTGTGTAACACAGTCTGAAGTTGACACAGTGAAATGTTACAATTAAAGCTGCCTAGAGATGTATACGTGAAAATAAACATTTTCAAAGACAATTGTTCTGAACACTCCTTTAAGCACACAAATGTACATAATTTAAGCTTTCTTTGCATTACATGTCTGGTAAAGGAGAGGTAGAATTAGTGGCATTAAAACCTCCTTGGGTTTCTCCCTGCCACTTGAGAAATCCCCCTTTGTATGCTGAGCTGAAAAGAAGGTCCAGTTGGGTAGACACTGGAGAACAGCCAGGGGGCAAATCTAACACAATATGTCCATCCAAAGAGCAATTTGTTCTCAAGGAGCTAGTACTACTACCTCTAATTTCACATGCCAAACTGCCTGGATAGCTAATTTTAGTAGACAGAGATTTCCCCTTGTCTTACATTATCATATAGTGCAAAGACTGCCGAACACCGGGGGCAAATGGAGTACTGTACCACTTTGAAGAAGGAGATCTGAAGCAGAGCTATGAAATACAAAAATGCATTAGTGCAATACATTAGGAAAGATTAATTCTTTAACCAAAGGATAGAAAAAATATAGAGTATTCTAAGTAAAAAAAAAAAAAAAAAAGTTTTAAACTTTATGCAGTTCTTATTGAGGTTTAAATCAGTGTTATACTTTTTTTCCCCAAGTTTGTACCCCTGAGTCAAACATTGAATAAACATTATACAGTAGGTACAGAATCTAATGTATAGTTAAAAAGCAACAGATTTGAATGGTCATTACTTCAGAAGTGTTAAACAGTGAAAATACCCTTCCGTATGGGAGAAGGCAAAAAAAGAACTCTAATTTGTTTTCAGTTTATAACTAGGTAAAAGATCTCAGGTTTCCAACCACATTGTTTCCATATGTTAAGCTGAGGTTTAGTGACAAATGCAACAAACCTTCAGTAAGGAAACCTGTTGAGGCTGCATCATTTGAGTATGCATAGTTGAGAACAACTACAACAGAGCAAAGCGATCTTTCCAAGTTATAAGTTGCATGAGACTGCATTAATCTTGGAGCACTATGTGAAGGTAGGCAGAGTTCTTTGGCTATGATTATCTATCTAGAGCTCTAACCTCAATACCCTTTATATCAAATATATTTTACTAGAGTAATAACTAAATTGCTATAACATTGGCCTCTTGGCCTCTATTAAAATGGAACATCAACACTTTCACTACTTCAAACATTAAGATTCAGCTCACTAGAATCTCTGCTGACTGTCTCCAAGACTAATTCATGCCTTTTGCACTTTTCTTCCTCCTTTCTTTACAACATCAGGAATGAAAGCTTATTCTTAATTATTCTTAATAAGAAGGCAGGTTCAGATGCAACGAGGACTCACTGTTAATCATTTGGTTTGTTCTGGAAAAAGTGTGAGAAGGACCACCCTGTGTTACTGGGTTTGGGAGACTCTTCTTCATCTTTTGGGGGAAGCAGAAACTGTCGGGAATTAATTGAGCATGGGCTCCCAAAAGACGCATTTTCATTGTTGCTCCCAACTGATCCAGGAGAGTCTGGAGTGTCCATGTTCCAAGCACTGGTGTTTGCCTGAGGTCTGTAACCTGCAGTTTTATCGAATTCTTCCCCTGCAGGTGAGCGACTCTCCATTTTCAGAGCACTGATAGGCAGCTGCATTTGAGGCTTATAGCCTGCTGTAGTCACTAAGTCTATTTCTGGCTCCCCCTCTGGTTTAATTTGAGGTTGATACATTGACTGGATGTCAATGTAAACCACCTGAGATGACCCCGCAGGTTCATCCATAGGGGGATTTGAGATCTCCTCTTCAATGATAGGGGGGCAGTAGGACACAACCACATGGTTCTCTGTTTCTGAGTCAGAGCCATCTTCAGGCACAGTGGTGTCTGGCACTGGGGACATCATCTCTGTGTCTTCAATCTTGGGAGCTGCAGACTGTGTTTCCACCACTTCAACACTATTGGGAGTGCAGGGGTTCATTTCCAGTGTTTTAAGTGTCTTATTTCCCTGAAGTGAGAAAAATAAACAGGAGGAGAGACTAAGTCAAAGACTTGGAAATACTGAAAACAACTTGTCCAAATTAAACCAGTATGTTGGCTTGTGGCTTGCACTCATCACACTGCCACTACTAAAACATAAAAGTGGCTTAGTTTGCATCTTCTGGCTAATCACATAGTTCTGCAAATGTTAAAATATTCTAGTAATGTAAAAAGAGACTCTAGATACTGCAGCAAGTACTTGCGAAACTTTCCCCAAAACTCAACTTTGTACAATCCATTCCAGAAGGTTATTATACGTTATGCACAGGTCCAGCTACTACGTATACCAGAAGGCTCAGGCCATGTACACTGCTCCACACCTCCCTCCTCTAACACTATGACAAGGATGGCTATATTACTCCCACACAGTTATTATCATGTACGGACACCTCCCATTAGTGTGGGAGGAGAGAAATGCAGCATCCTCTACTAGTTCAAACTTTACAAGTGATTACATTAACAAGAAGAAAGCTTAGCCAGCACCTGACAATAGTTATTCAGTAGCTTGTCTTGTTCCTTCCTACCAGAGTTTCTCCTATAACTGCAGCAGAAGACTCAAAGTTTTCAAAATAACTCTTTACTTGCAATACCTTTTAGAAGTTTAAAATACTAGATTAAAAATGAGGATTACCTCACAAATATTCTTCTGAAACTGCAATGCCTTACTGTTCTCAGGATTTGGGATCTCTGGATAAAATGTTTCTTTAATCCTTTAAAGAAGAAAGAACAAATTTTTGAAAGTTACAAAGCCCTCAAACAGACTGCGAATGCACAAAAGGAGTTGGGACATTTCCCTTTAATTCAGAATACTGAAGACATCTGGCACAAATATTTAGTGTGTTACACTTTCACGGAGTATTTAATGGAAAAAAGAGCAAACTATTTTTTAAATTTATTTTTAAACTGGGGGACTTGATATGCCACTTTTACAAGAAGTTGAAGATGGGATGTCTACCTGAGTGTTTGTTTATGGCTTACAAATTATGGCCAGCTTATTTCCACTTGAGAACTGTTTGTAAGTGGTCCTTACTGGGAGTCAGGCTTCTGCAAAACCATTTTACATTCCTCACACTGACCTCTCCAGAGCTCAATTTCTCCCTCACCTTCTACAACGTGTTTTTGCCACCCACCTTTAAACAAAGCCCACTAACATCTTTGGGTACTTAAGAGAAAATAAAGAGTAACTAAAATAATGGGAAAGTCTAGCATGGAAGCAAATGCCTCCAGGAAAAAATCAGAACTGAATGCAGGCATTTACCATTCCCTCTTTCGGTAGCAGAAGATGCTGGCCATCACTCCAAGCAGCACAACCACTGCTACGGGGATGAGAATAGCAATTATTAATCCTACAGCTGGGGGACAAAAAAAGAAAAGACAGTAAATATATATCCAAAGTTACCAGCTAGTTCTATACCTTTTCTAATATTCCCATTGATCAGGGACAATTTGATCAAATGCATCTAACAGTGGCCTGCAGTGACCTAAACTATACACTTCTCCTTTGACAGAAGGGTGAAAGTTTGCCCATAAATAGAGCTAGTTCCACAATCACCAAAGGAATCAGCAGATACTTGTCTCTTGTGTAGCTGTGACAGGCCTTATGTGCAACACAAGGCTGATGGTCAATGTTGCTCTGTTCTCAGTAAGCGCTGGGATTGCACTTGCAGGTTGGATGGGCTGGCTCTAAGAGGCTAACAACCCATTGTACAAAACTGCACTGCACAATGCTTCTAATCCCCAGAGTTTAGCCATGATACATTCTCACTGCCTTCCTCCACTGATGTTAACTGCTTCGAGTTTGGTTTTTCATGTATTTTAGTTGCCTTCCAGTGTTTAGTCTTTCATATGAAATACTTTCTTTTTTCTTCCCCTCATTCACTCAAGTCGATCTCTTTTTTTAATAAACTGTCTTTCTGGTTTTGTTTCTGTCAGGGGATGGATAAAACTGAATTCAAAGCAGAGAGGCATCTGTTTATAATTCTGAAACTGGTAAATATTTCCAGTGTTTTTCTTCCCACCATGTATTAGAAGATATTAATCATGGGAAACGTGACAGAAACAACTAACAGCTTGAGAAAACTAGGGACAGACTATCATATTTAGTAGTAGTTTAGAAGTATTTTTTCTTGTGTGCATTACTAGGAACTACAAGGTAGCTGCAACAGGAAAGATCTCTTCCTCACCCTGAACTGTACTTATTTTTGTATCTAAGAATAACCAACTTCATAAAACCAAAATTAGACTGCAGACTCGAACTACCTAAGGGGACCACAAAATAAGCTCGTCTTTATATATACCGTACAGCTTCCCTGTGCTGAAGACAACTAATGAATAGGGATATTCAACTTACAGTCTTCCTTTGTCACCACATAGAGGCTGTTGGGAGGGCTCAATCCACCAGCAGTGTAGGCTTGTAGGTCCAGCTGGTAACTTGTTTTGCCTTGAAGATCAAGTATTTTTAAAGACTTCTTTGTTAAGTCAGTGATATTCTTAACTTTAAGTTCTGGATTTCCTGTTCAGAAGCAGTAAGAAAAACATAGCTTTTTAAGACAGGATTCACAAAGACAGCCTCAGCTTTAGCAAGGCTTTACTGAAGTCAGAATATGAAAACTGAAGAACAGTGTGTGCAAAGGAAAAATTAAATAAGACATCCTAGCAGTGCTGCTTGCCTACACAGCACCAAACAGCACAGAAGTATGTTGTTGCTGCAGACTGACTTCAGTTTCTGATAGTCCTGCTTGTCCTCCTATGTTAAGGTGAGTCAGGGCTTCATTTCTGTACAGATTTCCCTAC